GCTTGAAGGGGCCTATAAACATTAATTAATTTAAGCTCTGGGTAGCCCAGCACCATTATGCCTTTTGTAAAGTAGAGTAAATAGAAGTGCACCGAAGTTAAGTGGCTTCCCAGGGCTCATGCAGCCAGCCTGCAGCACCTTTGTCAACGGATCAGACTTTCGGCATTGTGACTCCTTGTGACTTCCGCTAACCCAGTCCTGGGCACAGGGGGCTGCCAGAGGTGGAGAGAGGAGAGATCCTGCGAAGTAGGGGAAAGTAAGGAGATAGCTACACTTCTGGCAAAATAGCAGGAAAATACAGCAGATAAGCTCACCCCCAGTGTACAGGAGGTAACTACTTTTATCTTCCCCAGTTTTCTTTAAGCAGACTTCTCAAACTTGAGGGAATCTTTTACAACACAGATCTGGAATCAGGCAGTGGGTGGTGAGGCCAGGGTCTTCACAGCGAAGCAAGCTCTCCCTGATGTTAGTTCTGGTGACAATTGCCTTTGTTATTCTCCCCTTTATCCAGCCTTGTTCTGTTTGACTTTCTTCAGTAATCATGTGTTATCTTTCCATTGTCCTCTCTTTCTTAAGTTGATAGATTGTATTTATAGGAGGAAGCATGTGGGTCTTAAAGGCTCAGTTCTATGAGTTTGACCTTATTTGGAATTTGGAGGCCGCGCAAGCATATTGTGCTGCAAAGATCAGGTTGGAAGCTGGCTCATCTGTGCTTTGTTCCCAGCGTGAAGAGACTGACAGGCAGCCCTAGCACCAGGTCAGCCCCGGCACTTCCTACAAAATGCACAAAGAGAATTCACTTCATAATACTTATTATTCAATGTAAATATTTATTAAGCTGAAGCTCTAAAATATTTTTTAAAAATTAAGAGGAAACACTAGAGATAGAGAAATTTGCACTATTTGGGTAAGGGCAAGAATGTAGTTAAGACACAAATATGGGATTGTATCTAAGCAGTTCTAAGCCACAGAGATGAGCGAGAAGACATTTCATCAATCATTCACACTCCGCCCCCCAACATGAGGATAAACATCTGGGCATTTGGAAATATTTGGGTAATTAGCCTACTTTCCCAGTTTTTCATCATAAGGAAATTAATTTAGTGACATGTACTGATGGCAAGTTTATCTATAAAGCAGGCTGCTAGGTTACTCAGAGATGTAGAGTTGTACAGGCGCTGGAAAAGTTTATGATTACATTTATAATCACAGTCAGTGAGGTAGAGACCTCTGGGAAGGCCTGAGTGAGGAGAAGGGAGATTCCACCAGGCCACGTAAGGAGAAGGCTCGTGGTGAGGGCGGCTTGTGAGACGTTACCATGCCCAGGACAGGTGGTCTGGGGCGTCAGATAGCCCAACAAAAGGAAACAGACAAGGAAAGGCATAAAAAGGGGGAGAAATGCATGCAAATCATAAAAGTGAGTTCTTATTGTCAGGACAAAGAAAAATAGGAAGGTGAGTGATCTTTTCATTTGAAGCTATAGTCATAGCAAAGTGTCACTTAAGGTTTACAGAAATCCTCCTGCATAGGCACACCGCTGTCCTCCATCTGATAGGTATCACTGAGACGCAGGTTAGGCTCTAGGAAGGTCTGGGCTTACTCCGATGAAACAAGGCAGATGTGATCCCTGAGCTCACAGAGCTTATACTCTAGGTGAGGAACCAGAAAAAAAGACAGCAAATAATGAATGCACACTTATAAAAGCAAAATAGATAAAAGCGACATGGACTTGTGTTAAAGAAGAGAGGCCTCTCTTACACAATGTGATCAGGGATGAACGGTGACATTTCAGCTAATGTCTGAAGGACACAAAGCAGTTAGACTTCAGGAAAAGTGGAAGCATGGGGCTGATGCAGACAGAACAGCTCACACAAAGGCCCTGAGACAGAAAACAACGGATGTGTTCCAGAAACTATCAGAAGCTTAGAGTTCAGGAAGCCCAGAGGAGAAAGGCCCCAGATGAGATGCAGAAATCCTCAGAAGCCACAGAGATTGTTGTAGAGCCTAAAAGGTCATAGTGAAGATAGTGAATTTTATTCTAAGTACAGTGCACACCAAGGTGGGATTCAGGCTGGAAGTGAGGCCACAAGATTTGCATGTTTCAAAGACTGTTTCCACCACTGTGAGAACAAAGGGATTGGAGAAGAGTAAGAGAGGAAATAAGGAGTCCTGGTAAGAGACGGCAGAAGGTTGAATGGAGGGCACCATCTTGGATTTTATGTGCCATGTTGACCTGTATTAACACAAATCCTTAAATAGTGTCAATCAATTTAAAGGAAAATGCTACTGAAAGTTAAATATTTAAACATTTATGTGCAAAAGAAAGCCACAAGTAGAGGATATATCTTCAGATTATGGCAGACCTGGGTTTCATTTTCCCTGACACAAGGATCTGTAAAAACTTTGCTGATTTCTATGGAATAAGCATTCTTTTCATGGTTGATTTTAAGCTCTCACCATGACATCACTGAACACAGTTGGGAAGAGATGTGCAGAATCATGCCATTATGTTGCATTGTCCCATCATGTGAATACATTCAAAGGTAGTTGTAAAAAGCAAAGAGGAAATAATAAGTTTTGAGTATTATCTTGTGTTTTAGTGTAATTTATTTAACTGTACATTTATGTCATTTAATTTTGAATAACTGTCTTTAAAATCAGCTTGTAATATTTCTAGAAATTTAACATTTAGTTCTCATCAGTCAGGATTTTGACCTTAGGGTCTGCAGGAACCAATGACTACACTGAAGGAGCTTCAGGACACCCTCAGCTAATATGAATTGTAGAAAAGGTCTGTCTTACCAGAATATTCATTAACAAACAGTTACTAAGCACTAACTATATGCACCAAACTGAGTGCTAGGGGTCAGGAAAGTAAGCAACCTGTTTTGAATGTCACCGGGTGCCAGGCACTATTCCAGAACCTCTGTCCACTGAGTTACTGCACACTACAGCTCTATGGGTAACTATTATTACCATCTCCATTTTAGAGGACAAATTGTAGTACGGAGATGATTAAGAGGTTGATAAAGCTACAATTTGAGTCCCTGCTCTAAAATTAGTATACAAAATAAAATAAAATCGCTGCCTTCCATAATCTTATAAAAACATATGTGCATATTTTGTATGCAAACATTCATCACAATGTTTGCAGATCAAACATTGGGATCTTGCTCAAATACTGGGAGGTTTTCCATTTTCTACTGCATCAGAGCACTTGAAATTACAGTCTGGTTTAATAAAATGTGCCTTCATTGATAAGAAAAAATATTAAATCACAATATGAAAAGACAATTATTTGATTCAGTTAACATGGAAATTACCTCCATTTTTAATTATCAGAGATTTACCATACATTTTTTATAGCCTCTGCCTATTTCTCTATGTCACAACTTGCAGAGAATTAAGATATAAAAATAGTTTATATGCCTATAAAAACCACAAGCTCTGCTAAATGAAAAACAAGGGAGGTAATTTGTACTGTCAAACTATCTTTTTAAACTTCAGAGGGTGGATGGGGCTAGGTAATTCAGAGTAAGAGATGCAAAAAGTATAAAGATAAACTCACCTTTTAAAACAGTTTTTGACCCAATGCCTTCAATCTGTTTGGAAACTACAATAAATGTGTGTCTCTGAGGGGGATGGGACTGCGTGTTCAGTCACATCGACTCACACCAAAAACAGTTTTGTAAAATCATTTCGCATCAAACTTAACACCTTAAGACACCTCAGAACCCTCATGAATATAATAGCTTAAATAATATTATTCAATCATCTATATGTTTAAAGACACACTTAATCAGTCTTTTGAGTACTGATTGGTTTTGGATTTCCTTAGTTTTATTTTAATTTTGAGAAGTCTCACTTCCAAGTCTGAAACAACTTAATTGCTTTCACAACAAAATTTTCCCACCTTTGAGGAGAGGCTGGTGACAGGGTCCCCTCTGAGGACCAACTTGTTCTGCCCATCTAGGCTACTTTTATTCTATTATTTTAAATCTAGAGCTCCCAATTTTCCTCTGCGGTTACCAGGATCTGCTGGAGTTTTCAAAGGGCCTGTTTTGTTCACTTTTGTAATAGAATTCTTCCCCTGGGCACAAAAATATTGCTAGGGCCTCCTTGAATAAGTTTAGCAGGGTGTTGTGCAAGAAAATATTTATTCCTTGTGATCAAAGTATGGGAAAAATATATGTTTAATCGTGGGCTCAGATTTTCTTCCCAGTTGAATTAAATCCACTTTGAAGTTGGTCTGAAGTAGCTGTAGTAGTTTAAGGGTTTTAAGATGGAACAGGACCCAGGATCTGTTTGAAAAGCAGTGAGGGTAGCTTCACCCCTCAGTGTCACCTCCACAAGCACTTCTTGAGTGGAAGGAGAAACAGGACAGATCAAGGTGCGACGGAAAGCAGAGGGCAGGAGCTACCAGTGCCAGAGGCCCCAGGACCCAGCAACCCAGGCCTCACCGCAGACCGGGTCAGGTTCCTATGCCACTTCCCACCATAGAGGAGACCTCCGTTCCCACATTTTCTGGAAAGGTTTGTCACCAAACTCTGGCAAGATAAACCAGGTCAGATCACCTCCCTGCTGAAGACATTTTTCCATGGGGATCTGCTCCACATGCACCTCTCCAAGTGCTGCCTCCTTCATTCCCCTCTCTGTGCAGCCACAGCAGCCTCGCTGGTATGCACTGGACATGCCAAGCCCTCGCCCACCTCCAGCACTGTTCCAAGCCATGAGCCTTCTTCCTGAAACTTCCTGCTATTATGTCTCCCTTTACTTCATCTCTTTATTCAAATGTTGACTTCTTCAGAGTTGCCTTCCCTCATGCTGTCCTACTCAGGCTGCTACAACACCATAAACTGGGTGGCTTACATTACTGACATTTGTTTCTCACACTTCTGAAAGCTGGAGAGTTCAAGAACAAGGCGCTGGCTGGTTCACTGTGTGGTGAGGGTTGGCATCGTGGTTTGCAGATGGCTGCCTTCTTGCTTCTCATCTATGTAGCAGACAGCAGAGAGAGGAAACAAGTTCTTCAATACCTTTTCATAAAAAGGCCCTAATCCCACTCCTTAGCGTTCCACCCTCATGGCCTCATCACCACCCGTAAGTCTCACTTCCAAAGGCTATCACGCTAGGGATGAGAGCTTTCAGCATGCAACTGTGGGGACAGTCCATAGCGTGCTCTCTGCTACATCCTCAGGCAGGAAGGGAGGGGGAGAGGAAAGGAACTGAGGCAGCTGTTCATGGGCAAGTTAGCACTGCAGACAACTGGGACTAATCCAGGGGACCACATGCCCCAGGATGATTTCCATGGGGGAAGTTGCTATATTCCTGCCTGTTGCTAATTGGGGGTCACTCCCATTGTAATAATTTTAGCAGGGTGTTGTGCAAGAAAATATTTATTCCTTGTGGTCAAAGTATGGGAAACATATATTTTTAATGTTGTGCTCAGATTTTCTTCCCAGTTGAATTAAATCCACTTTGAAGTTGGTCAAAGTATCCATGCTGGTCAAAGTATCCATGGTCAAAGTATCCATCCATCCATCGCAGCATGCAAATGAGGCACACCCCTGTGACCAGAAAATACACTCAGGCAAAGTCTCCAGTAATCAAAGTGGGGAGTCCTTAGCATCTCTCAGTGTTCCCAAGTGATATAAGGACAGCAGCAAAGTCTGTCAGGAGCTACTTCATAATTCTGAGGGGAGTTTCCCCTGTAGTTCCTGATAAACTAAATACATGGACAGCTTTCCCAAAATACTGCCAGTCTGCAGCTGAATCAGCACCTTGGATCTGAGTCTCAGCTCTTGCTCTAAGTTGCTATGCACACTGGGGTGGCATCTTTCCTCTTTGAGGCCCAGTTTCCTTGACTGTCAAGTGGCAGTTTGTTTCCAAGATGTGGTATATAAATTACAGATGGCACAGAAGGTAAGATTAGGTAATAATGGATATATCTTAATTTTAACGGCTCTGTATTTTTATTAGACAAGCTGACTCAAACTGTTGAAAAAAATAACTTGAATTCTTAACCAGCTATTGAGTTCTTGTCCACCAACAACCCAGTGTAGGTTGGTGGAGTAGCAGAGAAGAAAACTTTTGATCTACAAGGTGATCCAAAAATCAAAGTTCCTTCCCTCTACTAACTCAGACTCTGCCACTTTCAAGGACCCTAGCTTCCTAAAATGTATTCAGATTCCAGGGATCAGGTCGAGAAATGAGTAAACCACTTCCTGTGCAGAACTCAGTTACATGGACCTACCTAGCTAGATGATGTAATCCTTCTGTGTTCCCAGGAAAATAAGCATGGGATTGGGTAAATGCACACATAGAATGATGCTACCACAGAATAGATAGATGGATGGATGGAGAGATGATAGACAAATGATAGGTAGATAGATAGCTAGATGATAGATAGACATGCAGATATAGATACGGACACAGATATGAAAAATATAACTAATGCATTGCACTTGAACACAGTTTAGATCTAAGTAGTAGACATGTTGATCAAAATGATGCATTTGAAATTGGGTCAAGAAGAAATATTAGGTTAATAATACTGGAAGGATTACGTAGATGAGGCAAATTGTGTAGATGGGGTATGCATGGTCTCCCAACTATAACATCTTACACAGAATTTTCTTAACCAAGTTGTGTTTCAATAAATGTGAGACTGAATCATGGGAAGGTAACTCAGCTCTCATTTTCCTAGAAAATTAACTGGTTCTACAATAATGCTTTGTAACCATCACCCTGAAACTCAGTTGCTAGAAACAATCATTTCAGCAGATGAAGGTTGACTGACCAAGGCTGGGCCGAGGCTGAACTCAGCCCCAGAATGCAGGCTGCATCTAGGTCTGCTCCATTTGTCTCTCATCCTCCTTAGAACAGCAGCTGTCCCGGGGCAGAAGCACAAGAAACACGCAATGTCTCTCTAGGGCCCAGGCTCAGCACTGATATGCCATTCTATCACTAGCCAAAATAAGTCACTTGGTGAAGGCCTCCAGCTCATCCAGAGATACAGAACCCATAGAATATGGATAAGAATGTGAACATAGATATAGACGAAGATAGACATCAAAATTCATAACAAGGCATTGGGTCATGCAATTATGGAGGCTGAGAAGTTCCCTGATCTGCCACCTGTAAACTAGAGACCTGGGGAAGCTGGTGCTGTAGCTCTAAGTACTGGAGGACTGACGGTGCAAGTGCAGAGAAGGGCAGAAGACCAATGCTGCAGTTCAAGCTGTCAGGCAGAGACAAGGAATTCTCTTTTCCTCTGTCTTTTGCAGCAGGCCCTCAAGAGTTAGATGGTGTCTACTCCCCCTAGGAAGGGCAATCTGGTTTCCCTTACCCAGATGCTAGTCAGTGGTCAGCATGGCAGGCTGTACAAGGAGGCACAACTCCCCACTCTTCCCTCCGCTGTGCGCTCTGCAATGTGCTTCTGCAATGTCCAACGTGCCCATCAGGAACTTTGAGTCTGGTCCAGTTTTGCGACTTGCTTTAGCACAGAGTTCAACAAAAGTGACATCCTACAAGTTCTGAGCCTCAGCTCAAGAGGCTTGCAAGCCCCTGTTTTCCGCTGGACCTTGTCACCATTACGAGAAGAAGCCCAAACTAACCTGCTGGAGAATGAACATGGAACAGAGCTGCACTGTCCCAGCTGAGATTATCCTGGATGAGACAGTTCCCAGCCCACATGTTACCAGACCATAGATGCATGAGTGAAACCAGCCCAGATTTGCAAAATCACCCAGCCAACTCGTAATAATCAATTATTGGCAGAAATGATCAATTATTGTTTTAAGACACCAAGTTTTGGATTGTTTGTTTTATGGCAGTAGCTACTGATACATATGGAATGTCAGTCTGCTCCTCCACTATGCATTGATGTTAGGCTTGACCTTGCTGCATGGGCCACTGGTATGTAGGAGGATGTGGTATGAGCATCCTCAAGTGTGCTTCTGTGAATGAGGAGGCCTCTTGGAGCTTCCACGTTTCCACCCTGAGCCTCAAGTAATTTTTCTTTCCACTTGGATCCTGGGATCCCCGTAAGCATGGGGAACAGATCTGAAGCAGACTTGAAACCTATCGTCCCTCCTGGACCAGCCAAGATTAGTCAGGTCACAGCTGGGCTGCAGATTCATGAGTGTGAAATAAAATGTTTGCTGTTGCAATATATTGGGATTTTGGTGTTATTTGATGAGCACTGCCATAGCAGACGCCTGAATAATTATGCAGAATATTTACATGTGGAATTAATATTCTATAAGATGCACATTACCTTGTTCCATAAACCAGCAACATCTTAGAAACACAATGCAATTTTTTTTACTGATTTTAACACAGTTGAATTGTTCCAGGAAACTGTACAAGATAAAAAATTCTACTATGAATTATTTCTGTAAACTCTAGTTCATGGAGCAACATCTTCAGTTATATTGATCTCTGAGTTTGGGTCTTATATATTCAATGCTAGACTAAACTGAAACCAATATGAAGTCCACATAACAATGTAAGGGTTTAATCATGATCTCCTGGTTTGTTTATTACCCTTTGACAAATCTAAGCATTACTAACATTATCTGGTAGATTTCTGCCATTCATCTAAGTTATAAGACTACTGTACCAGATATAGATCATACGCATTTAGAAGAATGTGATTTTTAGTTTAAAACAGCATTTTAAAAAATGTATGAGATTATTCTATCCCAGGAAACTCATAAGTTATGCAGTCAAACTCTGTCTTCAAAGATACATTGCAGTATTTTTTTTCTTATTTCTATCTATTGACTACTAACAGATAGCTTGCATAACTGCACAAATCTGAACTGCACAGTTCAGGTAATTTCTAGCTGCAGGGGCTGGGAATTTAACTCAGAGGCACAGCGCCTGCCTGGTAAGCGCAAGGTCATGAGTTCGATTCCTGGTACTGGAAAAATAAATAAATAAATAAATCTAGCTGCAAAGGCACCCATACTCAGAACAAGGCACAGGGCACTTTCAGTGCTCTAGGAATCTTCTTGTGCTCCATTCCAGTCTACACCCCTGACAAAGGCACTATCCTGAGCCCTCATCTCCTTAGATTAATAATAAATTAATAATAATTAAATTAATAATAATTTAAATCAATTAATAATATTTTTTTGGTCTGTTTTGAGACAGGGTCTCGCTATGCAGTTCAGGCTGGCCTTGAGCTCACTTTGTAGCCCAGGCTGGTCTCGAACTCGCAATAATCCTCCTGCCTCAGCCTTCCTAGTGCTGGAATTACAGGCATGCGCCACCATACCCAGCCCAAGAAAGTAATGGTTTTTTTCTTTTTCTTCACTTTTTTTTTTGGTACGGGGAATCGACCGCAGGACTTGTGCTTGCCAGGTAGTCGCTTATGCTGCTGAGCTATATCCCCGGCCCTATTCATGAATTTCATATAATTGGAGTGATAGAGAATGTATGCTTTTGTGTGTTTTTTCCCACTGAGCAGTATTTCTGTGAGAGTCATCCACACTGACATGTAGCAGCCAGCCACTAGTTCCTTCCCGCTGATGATTAGTATCATGTTGTATGGATATGTTAACTGTGTTGATCCATCCTAAAACTGACATATACGTGGATTGTTCCCAGCTGTGGACTATTAGGAGTAAGCTGCTATGAATAATCTTATCCATGTCTTTTCATCTATATAAGCATTCATTCATTGGGTATGTGGAAATTTCTTAATGGTATTTTAATGCAAGAAATTTTGTACAACTATCCAAAGCTAGACTGGTAAATTATGATATATTCATATAAGAGAAATTGCTACAGCCATTGAAATTCTTCTTTTAAAAGATCTTGATGACCATATGCAATATGGTTTCAGTTATGTCCCCAAACTATGCAAAACTGTCTAGATATGCATGGGATCGAGGCATATTTGTATGTACACTGTTATGGTTTGTCTGTGTGTCCCCCTAAAGCCTCATGCGGCCATGGGGCAGGCTTTTAGAGTTGATTGAGGTATGAGAGCTACACCCACCCTGGGGTGGATAGTTTGCATATGTAAGGGAGAGGAAGAGAGTGCTTGAGGCCATTCCTCCCCCATTCCGCCCTGGTGTGTGCTTGTGGCTTTTGCTGTTGTCTGCCACCCTGCGCTGTAGCTCTCTGCCATGTGCCACTCTGCCTTGTAATCTGCCAAGTATGGACTGAAACCTCCACCAACTGTAAGCAAAATAAACCTTTCCTTCCTTCATTTTGGGCGTCAGGTATTTTGTCCCAACAACGAGAGAAAAGTAACCAAGACATACACATAATGTGGTTAGTGTGCACGGCTAGCTATACAGGCATAGATGTGTGTGTACAAAAAACAGAAAAGAATCACTGTATACCGAAAGATTTTAAATGATCATCTTTAAGAACGGAATAATAAAAAATTTCACCTTTTTATAATTTCCCACAATTTCCACAGTAAAAACATATTATAATAAGAACACAATTAATAGAATTAAAAATTACAAATCTATTGCTGAGTAAAATCATGCATTGCCTACCTCTTGTTTACAATGCTTCCTTTGATGTATGATATTTATTTAACCTGAACAATATGAAACCTCATCTCTCACCACCCAGTTAATGAGTCAGGATTGATATGACCAGGCCATGCAGACCTCTTCCAATGTGGCTCGACTGCCCTCTCAATGATTAAACTTCTCGCTAGTGTTATTATCCAGTTGTGCAATATCCAGGAAATGTAACCCTTCTAAAGCAAGAAGGAGAGGAGCAAGAGGAACATAATAGCTGAGAGGTACCACTCATACTCAGTGGCTCGCAATAATACATCCACTGTCAATGCACTGCCAAGAAAATATCAGATATCATATATCATGATAGAACTGGGTTATGTTGCAGAAATGAACCTTAATAGTGATATATAGGCTTGTCATATTTTGAAACATAACTTGCCTGTCCTGTGTACTGTTCAGTTTAAGTATAATCTACTGAATATGTAACTGTTTTATTCTGCATAATCTTTGTAACTTCAATTAAATCTATTTTCTCATATAATTTGCCAGAAATGGTCATCTGAAAGTCTCAACCAAAGTAAAATGAAGCTTAGAAAGGTATCTAGAAAACAGAAAGTCTTTGTAGCACCAAATATTTCTCTAGTCCAGGGGCCAGGAAATTACAGCAAACCTTCCTTCCATGCTTCTTTTATGGTCTGTGAGCTGAGAATAGTTTTTACTTTTTTTTTTTTGAAACAGGGTTTCACTATGTATTCCAGGCTGGCCTTGAACTCACTAAAAAGCCCAGGGTGGCCTCAAACTTACTGCAATCCTTCTGTTTCAGCCTCCCAAGGCTGGAATACAGGCATACACTACCATGCCCAGCAAGTTTTCACATTTTTAACAGACATAGGATATCCTTGGTTCCTCCTCTTTCTCCTCCTCCCGTTCTCCAGTCTTCTTACTCTTTATCTTCCTCTTCCTCTTTCTTCTCCTTTCTCCTCCACCACAACCATCACAATCACCTCCTCCTCCCCTTCTCATCCTCCTCCTCTTTCTCCTCCTTCTCCTTTTCTTTGTCTTCATCCCTCTCCTTCTTCTCCTTCTTCCTCCTCCTCCTCTTTCTCATTATTGTAGGTTTAACCCAAGGCCTTCCCACTGAAGTACTGAGCTACTACATCCACAGCCTTATCATTATTATTATTATTATTATTATTATTATTATTATTATTATTATTTTGGAACAGTGTTTGGCTAAGCCACTAAATTGAGTAAGCTATGCTCAAACTTGGGATCTTCCTGGCTCAGCTTCCCAGAATACTGTGATTGACAGGCATGAACCACTTACTTTTTTTCACCAACCTGATGTTTATAAAAAACATTTGCTGACTTCTGCTTATAGAAAACATTTGCTGACTTCTGCTCCTATTTATCCATGATATAAGCTTGTGCTCACATTCTAGTGAAAAGGAGTTTTGGAGGAAGTAATTCTGCATGGGAACAGCACTACGCATTCAATGCACTCATTTCTTTTTCTCCTAAGCATACAGTAATTCTGTATCTCCCAGTTGTACTTGCAGTTGGGTGAGGCCATGTCACCATGTTCTGGCTAATGTCATCTGTTCTGCCCCTTAAAGCATTCTAACGAATTCTCCAGATGCGCTCTCACTCTCTTCCTTTGTCTGCTGGGTGAATGTTCTAGAAAATGTGTAGCCACTAAGTAGGTGTCTCTTAAAGTAAGGCACCCTTTCAAACACTAAAGCATTTGTGATATTCAAAGTACAATAGAATAAGTGAGAAATTTTTTGTTGGGTTAAACAATTGAATTTGGGGGGATTTTTTTGTTACAGCTAATGTCACTTTCCCTGACTAATACAAATCTAAATTTTTTTCTCAAAAATTTTATGCCTGATATCAGCATCACGTTTCGTATAGATATACACAGAAACACACATAAAGTGTGAAAATAGTTTATCTCTCACTCTTTACGAATAATCAAAATATCTCTTTAAAGTATTATTTGGCTTTCATGGCCCCAATATGTAAAATCTGTATTATGAAGCTCTACTTTTTGTTCATCATTTATTTATTTTGGACAAAGGCCAAAAGTTATTTACTGAACTATAATTTCAGAACCAAGATAGACATCAGGTAAATAAAGGAAAATCCTGACCTTTATAAAATAACAACCACCCCAAATTTCAGTTCAAAAAAATTTATAAACAGTTCTTTCATGCTTATCCCTCCACAAGGCTATTTCCCATCTAACTTTCATCATCCTGTTTAGAGTTTACAAGTGAGAATCTTCAGATTTCAGTTTGGACACATCTGGCTCACAAATGAGGCACTACACCCTGGATTGTTGTGAAATCCTTGCCACCCGCTTTGCCGATGAGATCTTGTGTTTATGAGTAAAGATGTTGGACTCAGGCAGTTGCAGGGCTATTTTGAGTGGCGACGTCTCAGATGTAGCATCTAGAGATGTTAGTCTGAGCCTCCTCTGCTGAGGAGCTACTAGATTATAACCATTTATAAATGCAAATTTACCAAGTTTAGCTTTGTTTCAGATATACTCTCACCTGGAGTTCATAAAAAAAGATTATTTCACTTCTTCTTTAGTTGTTAGAAAAGAGTTAACATTTCCAGCCCCTTGGGGTTTTCTTCCTTTGACTGCATGCTTCTTAACTTCTCTAAGGTATATTTAGATTCTTTGCTTTTTAAATCACAGGCCGGAGATGGAGCACGGTGGTAGAGCAATTGCCTAGCACGTGCATGAGACTCTGGGTTCAATCTTTAGCACTGCAAAAAAGTGATAGAGAGAGAGAGAGAGAGAGAGAGAGAGAGAAAGAGAGAGAGAGGATCATAAAGCTATAATACTTATTTTACAATCACTGACAATTCTGATTAATAAAGAATTTATTTCTCCTTTGTCTTATATCAAGTCTGACTTGCTCTCCAGAAAGAAAAAATAAATAAATAAATACATAAATAAATAAATAAAACTATTAAGGGTGAATTGATAATGACATTTGATTACAGCAAACAAAATAACTGATTCATAGAGTTAAGCCTGAGGATATTCATCCACTAATATTGTCCCAGTCCAGGACCTTGAGGAAGTTGGACAACATTGACAAGCAACCTTGAAAAAAATGAAGTAGATTGACAGCAAACTAGATGAGTTCACCTTTCCTCTTTCCATATTAAAAAAAAATATCTAATGCACCAATAGATTCTGAATCAAATATGCTTCCATATAACCTCACAAAAGTGAGTCTGGTTCTCTGTATCTTGAGACAGATTCCCCAACAGGGAGGCCAGTCAGTCCCCTGGACCCCATGAGAGGTGCCCAAGAAGAACATGGCATTACCTGGGTGGCAGTCTTGCTTGAGCGCACAGCCTTGGGTCAGTCCTAGAGAAACAATCACACAGATAGAAACTGAGGGTCCTTCTGCAAAATCAGTGGGACTAGCTGGACTTTAACAAAATTGCAATGACATGACAAGCCAAAAAGAAAAAGGGAGGTACAAAGAGGGACTGTTTAATACCAAAATTGATAAAGTGATACAATACTGATAATTTAATGCAATAAAAATCCTCACCTAAATTTTACATATATATTTATTTATTTATTTATTAAAGCAAGTTATAGGGACAACTGGAAAATGTTGAATATGGATTACAAATTAGGTGAAATTATACTAATGCTAAATGTAAATTTAGCATTATACTAATGCTAAAGATCCTGAATATAATAGTTATGTTACAGTGATGAGGAATCTTCTTCTTCTTAGGAGATACTTACTGAAGTATCTGGGGTGAAGGGTTGTGTTGAGCAATTTTTACTGTGTAAACTGTCTCATCCACAACGTGTGCTTACTTAGCTTATGATTCTATTTAGACTAGGCTCATCTGAGTGGCCCCCTGACCTGGTTTGGTTCTCCTAAGTGTCTGTGATCAGCTACAGTTCCACTAGGGTAATGGGGGTAACTAAGCCCCTCTAGAAGGCTAAGTTTGGATTATTCACATGGCAGGCCAAAGTCCTGGGAATGGGAGCAGAGGGAGGGAAGGAAGGAGAGAACGGGAAGGAGGAATGGAGGGAGAGAGAAAAGGGAGAGAAGGAGAGGGAGAGGCAGAAGGAGAGAGAGAGAGAAAGAGAGGGAGAGGGAGGGGAGAGAGGGAGGGAGAAAGAGAATCTAAAGGGCCTGGATACATTGAAGGGAAATGTATCATGAAAATTACAGCACCACAAGGATGCATGGGTGTTCATTCAGTTATAGTTGCAACTTGTCCATAGATGTGAAATTATTCAAAACCAAAAGGTGGGGAGAGGAATAAGAGTGTACACTGTAAAGTTCAATTTATATTAACTTTTTTGTTATGGTTTGTGTCTGGGTGTCCCCCCAAAGACACATGCAGTCATGGGGCGGGCTTTTAGAGTTTATGATTGATTCATGGTCCAATGTTGGAACTATATATGTGAGTGCTACACCTGCCCTGGGACAGGTAGTTTGCATACAATGTAAGGGAGGGAAAGATGCTACTTACCAATACCACTCCTCCCTTTTGCTTTTGCTGCTTTTGCTATCTTCCACTGCCATGAACAGTTGCCCTCTGCCATGTGCCACTCTGCCTTGGAGCCAGCCAAGAGAATAGACTGAAACCTCCACAGACTGTGAGCTAAATAAACCTTTCCTTCCTTAATTCTGGGTGTCAGGTATTTTGTCCCAGCAATGAGAGAAAGTAACCAACACATTTTTAAATGGTAAATCAATGTATGATAAGAGAAGTCAGAATATCAGTAATTTAGCTTCTGGGGGTGCTGGTAAATCCTGTTTCTTGAGCTGAATAAGTAAGAATTCCACTTAGCTACACATCTAGGATGTGTACTCTTTTCTGTATGAACATGCTGCTTAATTTTGTAAAATTTAGTTTGAAAAGCAGAGAGCATGGGCCCCTGGGTTCTTTTCCTGATACTGTCACCATGTTTGTGTTGTGTATTTAATTCGCTGCCCCCTCCCCTCACCATTTCCTCATCTGTAAAACATCTAGCTAAGATTAAATTCTGACAGAATGGTACTCTGTCTTCCTGGCTAGAAATAATTTGTCAGAAGTCTTAAAATATATAACACAGAGCCTTGCAATTACAAAGCACTTTTCTCCTCCAGCTATAACTTACTTGGGAATTCTTTTTGCTTTCCAGAATATGTACAGAAATAATTGTAACAAAGCAAAAACAATAAAGGGGTCTTTCTGGACTACAGATGAAAGCTATGAGGACTAGTTATTTGCAAAAATTAATGGAAGGAAATGAATGGAGATTAAAGGAAGAATCATCATGAGCCCTTTCAAGGAACCAACCATACTTGGCCACCATTAGACCCCTGTTCTAGTGGGTAGAATGTAGTCTCTCTGGATGTAGTTTCTTGACCTCTCCAGGCAGCTATGACCTAGTGATCTATTACATATTTTGAGGCTTTTAGGGTAAAGCAGAGACACAGGTGGCCCCTCAGTCTTCACACATTTTGTGTATGTTGACAGAAGTCCAGGTGTCTGACATAACAAGCAGCTGCCCACAGGGGTGCAGGCCCTGGGAGGGCCTCTAGTGGTGGTGATTTTCTCACTTTGGAGCACTGTGACCCCTTCATAGTTCAAAGGAGATACTAATAGGACAACACTTTGGCCTTTTTGTTAGTGTTTCCTAGAGCACTTACAGTTTACCTCTAAGGGTCACTCTAGCTACAATTTTCAGCATTTTTTTTAAGTTGCACTCATTGAATATTATGGAGCACCCACTATGTGAATGTAGAGGTGAAGGAGGAGACAAGCCCCCTGCCCTTTTGGATAGACTATATAATCATTCATTTATTAGATAGAGAAACATGCAAATGCTCACCTTGTCTTACATGGAGGAGTGATAGTTGAACTTCACAACAGTGTCAGAGCAGACATCTTGGCTCTAATTTACAGATGGAGATACTGAGGCCCAGGGAGGTAAAATAATTTGCCCAAAAGGTGACATGGCTAGTAAGTGGAGTCCTACTGAATTCCACTTTGCTGCAATTCCTTCACATATAGTGTCTAAGACAAAGTGGTAAGATGTGCCAATCTGTTAGAACAGGGCTTAGAGCAGAAGCTGTCAAACCAAGTCACGTGGTCTAGCTGCTTATTTCTGTTTTAGCAGGTTTGCATCAGCAACCTTATAGTGAACAAAGACAAAAACTATTTGCTATCCAGCCCTCGAAAGGAAAACTCTGCCATCTATTTCTCAGAACATTGCCTCCTATATTAGGGTAATACAGGCTTCCCTAAGAAGCCCCAAAATTTTAATGGCTTCCCACATCAAATAAAAGCTTATTTTGATACTACATGGTTGCTCAGTCGGGATACTCTAAGGCAAAATTGGAGGTCCTGCTGCAAGGATCAGGTTCTAAGATCACCCTGAACAGAAACATCCAGTCAACATACCAGGGGAAAAAAGGAGTCTACACAGGAGAATTTTTTAAGAACTCAATCTAGAAGGACACCCACATGACCTCCACCTACATACTGATCTGAACTCAGTCACATGGCTGTACCTAAATGTATATGATACCAGAGAACGTAGTCGACAGAGATGGCCAGGAAGATGAAGAAACTGTAGCAGTGGGTGAACGCGCGACAGTCTCTACCCCAATCCCTAAATGTTAATCATTCCTGTACTAGGAAGGCTTTGATCTTTCATATTAGTTTTAAAGCCCGTATATAATATGCATATGTTTAAAATTTTTAACTTGAGCTCTAACCTTTTCGAGGTACACACTAAATGTGTACAAATGGTCTTACTTCAAAATAACCTGAGAAAGAGGAAGTTCATAAGAATTCAGTGGCCCTGCCTTATCCCCCACAACGAGTACCTGAAACTGCAGGTAATGTCAAACCCTGTACCTACCATGTCTTTCCTACATATACATTTCTATGATAAAGTTTAGTTTATAAATCAGGCACAGTAAGAGGCAAACAACAACAATGGAACAACTACAGTAGTATTTCATATCCTCTCTCTCTCTCTCTCTCTCTCTCTCTCTCTCTCTCTCTCTCTCTCTCTCTCTTTCTCTTCTTGTACCACGATCAGCCCTCCTTTTGTGATAATGTAAGGTGATACAATGCCTACCTAATGAAATGAAGTCAGGTCAAGTATGCAAGGATTGTGACACAGCATAGGCTACTACGCAAGGATTACTTAACACAAGCACTATAATACCATGCCAGTCAATCTGATAACCATGAAGACTACTAAGTGACCAAGAGCAAGGATAACATGGATAGCATGGAAGAATCATCACAAGCCCTTTCAAGGAACCAACTATACTTGACCACCATTACACCCTGTTCTATGAGGTGGAAAGTCATCTCTCTGGATGTAGTTTCTTCACCTCCTCAGGTAGCTAGAAACCCTGAGGTGATCTCTTGGATTTGTTGCATATTTAGAAGCTTTGGCCACAGCCTTGGACACAGGGATGATTTGCATTCTGGGCAGAATGTAGTGGAATGTCAAAATTTTCATTATGCTACTCAGAATAGCAGACAATTTAAAATTTATCAATTGTTTATTTCTGGAATTTTCTGTTTAATATCTTCATGTCACAGTTGGCCCCACAAAAACTGAAACCACAGAAAGCAAAAGCACAAGTAAGAGGGACTACTATACAGAAGACAAGATTGGCCATGAGTTTTATGAAAGCTAGGTTATGGGTATGTGATGATTTGTTATATGTTCTCCCTATTTTTGCTGTCTTGAACCAATCTTTAATAAAATTTTAAATTAAAAACAATAAAATCCTGGACATAAGAGACCCTAAGGAGACTAGGCTCTTCAGTGATAATAACTATAGGTATTCTGGTTTGTGATTAATTTTTCTAACTTTCTCCAAATATCCTAGTCAAATAAGTTGGGGTGCAGTGTAACTGGGAATTAGAAAGACAAAATTTATGGAAGTATAATGCAACCAAGAGACAGAAGAGTTAACAATATTCATATGTCAGACACCCAAAGGAGAGCTTCTTTATTAAGTATGGTGTACATAAGCACCTAATTTATTACATATATTTTAAAAAACTGAGCAACTCCTTTAGGTAAAGCACTTGACTCAGCTCTGGAAACGCAAGGATAATGTGACACACACCGCCGCAAAGACTGTATTTGTCAGGGTAGGCAAAACTGGTTGCTGAGCAAACATCCCAAACTACAGTGTCTCTGAATGAAAAAAGAGTATTTCTCATATACACAAAGTTCAATAGCTCTTATTGGAGCAGTAACTTGGGTATATGGATAAGGAAGACAGGTGCATACAGCTACAGGTGCATACAGGATGTCTTAAAACCAGACCTGAAAGTAGCACAACCCTGCAGTCCCACGTTGTAATGGTCAGCTTTGCTGTCACTGGAATACAATACCCAAGACCCACAATTTAAATGGGGAGGGGTCATTTTGACTCACAGTTTCAACAGATTCAGTCCGTGGTTGGCTGGCTCTAAAGTAGAAACAGCGCAGCAGAACAGCATTGCAGAGGAAAACTCTTCACTGCATGGAGACCAGGAAGCACAGAGGAGGGACAAGCCAGGGATGAGAATACTGTACACCCTTCAAAGTCACATGCCAGATAATCAGGCCCTTCCCACCTCACCCATCTCTGAACTTCTGGGAGACATTTTAAATCTAAACTGTAACACACACAGACCCAAATGTGGCTGGAAAATGTTCCTTACTTAAGAAATCAGGAAGGAGAAAACTGTATCATGGAAGAGGAGTAGGGTTTCAAATATTCCACCCCAAAGGCAGCCCTGATGTAGGTATGGTGGGAAGAAAGACATACCAAGAGACGTATTCTACAGGAGTATAGCAAGATCAATAACAAAGGCATAAATGCCGAGCTACCGGGGATTCTGAAGGAGGTATGATTCTTTTAAACTTTCATCAACTGCTGACATGATTTCATAAAAGTGTTTGAAATGTAATTCCTTTAAGCTATTAAATTTGTAATTCTATCTTCACAATTGTTTCCTCAGTCCCTGCTGGTAGTCTTGTTTAGCAACCTATTCCCAGAGCTTGAGAGTGTATCAGTGTTACTTATGCGCACTTACTAGAACATAAACTCACCTGGAATTTGGATCGCCCAGCATGAGGGACTTTAATGGCATTCATTCATACATTTGTTCAACATTTAATAAAGACATCTGCCCCCAAAATTCAAATTACAATTTTTACAACACTTTACACACACTTTGATCTCCCAATCTCCATTTACAATTTTTACAAGAATGTACATTCGTTGCAAGGGTTTCCTTGCAGTGTTTTTAAAAGTCATTTTTCCTAAGGTTCAAAACATGTGACTTTTAGATGAGAGGGAGGGCAGTTGAGGCTCACGTGTGGGGACTGTCTGTGAAAAAAGAAAGTTGCAGGACACAGCAGCCTGGATTCTAATTTAGACCAGCCTGCCGCTGGCAAGAGGAGAGTCGTCTGTCCCCGTATCCACATCACAAGCTGACACAACAGGGGTTAAACTGCCTTTGGCCACGGGATTCTACTTTGCTATTTTAATTTATAGATATTCCACTCGGTGCTGATTCCACCCCCCCCCCCTTTAAGAAATTTTAATTAGAAAACACTCAGGAGGATCCTTACTGGATTTGAAAGCTGCTGGGATTCCCTCTTTGATCTCCCATCTGAACCAAGGACAGGGTATTGTTTCAAATTCTCCCCTTCAGCGCCCCAGTTGTCAATTATTGGCACTTTAAAAGCCTGGAGATCAAAATAAGATGCCAGACAGTTCAGGCCGCCTAAAAATCCAAAGCATGCATCCCCTCCAAACATCTCCCCCTCTCCCCGAGCGGGGAAAAAGGGGAGGTTGAAACGTAAAAGATATCGCACGCTCCAAAAATAGCTGCCAATTTATTAATGAGATGCTGGGCCTGGTTAGAATTTTAAAGATGCTTCAGGCATCTTTAAAGAGGCAGCTAGCCCTTCCTTTGCCGGATACAAATAAACCGCGCCAGCATACCGCACCTTAAACGCTGCTAGCTATTTAAATTCTGCAAAATGCCACGGTGACCCGAGGAACTTTTGGAATGGCGAAAGAATTGGTCTTAACTTGGGTAAATCCTGGCTGAGATGCCCTGCATAAAGATGTGAAGCCGAAAAGTAGGTGAATTACGAATCTTCCGCCAGTTTTTAAAATGCAAAGATAGGGTGAGAGAGATGGGGAGAAACTAGGCGTGGCCAGTAAGGAAGTTCTATTTCTTTAATTTCAGTCTGAGGATTCACTCTGCTGGCACTGGGGTCTGGGCTCGCGAGGGGGGCTTGGGAAGTTGTGAAATGCACACGTGCGAAGGAACGGGTAGACCAGGGCTGGGCTCCGGGGGAGGGAAGGGCTGGGCTGGCGGGCAGGAGGAAGGAGGAAACCCGGGAGGAGGCGGAGGGAACGCACTATAAAAGGCTCCAGCCTTACAGAGCGCCAGCCACTCCGAGCCACTTCGGGAAGGTCAGAGCAGTGCAAGACCAAGAGCAAAGGAACGCGCGGTACCACCCAGGTGACCCGCGCCCACAGCTGGACCTAGTGCTCTCTAGCATCCGAAGAGAAGATCCCACGTCCTCCACTCCATCCCGATCCCTTCCTTCGCCAGCTGCCCGGGCAAGGCATGCGCCGCGCGCGGGAGCCCGGGGCTGCAGCGCGGTCATGAGGCAGCGGCCCAGGAGCAGCGGCTGCGTTACCGCAGCCTCCAAGTCCCCTCCCGGCGTGGCGCCCCCGGGATAAGCCCCCTAGACTTGAAACTTCTAGAGCTGCGAGTCACCGCTAGTGCCCCACAGACGTCCTGAGCGCCCGAGCTGCTGGCAACGCGCCCTGCAGTTTACCGCCACGACACCTGCGCGCCCGGCTAGACGCACGCCCAGTGCATCGGCGCACCCGACTCACCTCCCTTCTCAGGCTCTACAGTACGTGGTGGACGCGCGATCCGCTGAACCCAGGGATCCAGAGCAAGTGTCAAGATCCTTCTGGAGCGATACTTTGTCACTCCCATACTCCCGCCTGCTTCGGGCAGGGGCGCACAATCTCAGACATCAGACTTGCCCAGCGCGTGCTCTGTTCTCCATCACTAGAAGTCCAGGTGTACTTTGCCAATAAAGATTTCCAAACTCGCCTAGGCACCCCCCTACTCACCCGATCCCCGAGCTTCGTGCGCCCAAGGGCTCTGCCCTCGGGACCCCAGCAAGTTCCGCTGAGCTCAGTTGGCACAGCCGATCGGGCGCCCCAGCCATCCCGAAACAGTGCCAGCCTCCGTGCACCCGGGGCCCCCACCTGGAGCCAGCCCACCCAGGACCAGGCGTGACGGGCGGCGGCGAGGCTGGCGGCCCGCAGGAGCACGGCGTGCGGGAGGTGGCGCGCCGGGTGAGTGGCTCAGGACGGCGGGGGCGGGGGAGCCGAGCGTGGAGGTGACTCCGGGCGGCCGCCGAAACCCTCCTCCTCCTCCTGCTTCTCCTCCTCCTCCTCCTTTCCGCGCTCCTCTGGCGGCCGCTCCCGCTCCAGCTGCGGTTCCGCGGCCACATCTGGGGCGCCCATGTGCGCTCGGGGGCTCGGCT